CTCACACCTGTAATCTCAGCACTTTGGGAGGCCAAGGCGGGCGGATCACGAGGTCAGGAGTTCAAGACCAGCCTGGCTAACATGGTGAAATTTCATCTCTACTAAAAATGCAAAAATTAGCCAGGTGTGGTGGTGCATGCCTGTAGTCCTGGCTACTCAGGAGGCTGAGGCGGGACAATTGCTTGAACCCCAGAGGCAGAGGTTGTAGTGCGCCGAGATCTCACCACTGCACTCCAGCCTGGGCAATAGAATGAGACTTCATCTCAAAAAAAAAAAAAAAAAAAAAAAGAAAGAAAGAAAGAAAGAAAGAAAGAAAGAAAAAAAAAAAAAAAAAGAAAAAAGAAAGAAGAAAGAAAGAAAAAATAAAAAGAAAAAAGAAGAAAAAAAAGGAGGCATCATGCTACCTGACTTCAAACTATACTATAAGGCTGCAGTAACCAAAATAGCATGGTAACAGGTAACAGGTACCAAAACAGACATATAGAGCAGTGGAACAGAATAAAGAAGTCAGAAATAAGACCACAGTTATATAACCATCTGATCTTTGGCAAATCTGACAGAAACAAGCAATGGGGAAAGGATTCCCTATTTAATAAATGGTGCTGGGAAAATTGGCCAGCCATATGCAGAAAACTGAAACTGGACTCCTTCCTTATACCTTTTACAAAAATTAACTCAAGATGGATTAAAGACTTAAATGTAAATCCCAAAACCATAACAACCCTAGAAGAAAACCTAGGCAGTACCATTCAGGACATAGGCGTGGGCAAATACTTCATGATGAAAACACCAACAGCAATTGCAATAAAAGCCAAAATTGACAAATGGGATCTAATTAAACTGAAGAGCTTCTGCACAGCAAAAGAAACTATCATCAGAGTGAACAGACAACCTACAGAATGGGGGAAAATGTTTGCAATCTACTCATCTAACAAAAGTCTAATATCCAGAATCTACAATGAACTTAAACAAATTTACAAGAAACGAACAAACAAACCCATCGAAAAGTGGGCAAAGGATATGAACAGACACTTCTCAAAAGAAGACACTAATGCGGCCAAACAAACATATGAAAAAAGCTCAACATCACTGATCATTAGAGAAATGCAAAATCAAAACCACAATGAGACACCATCTCCCACCAGTCAGAATAGCGATTATTAAAAAGTCAAGAAACAATAGATGCTGGCAAGGCTGTGGAGAAATAGGAATGCTTTTACACTGTTGGGGGGAATGTAAATTAGTTCAATCATTGTGGAAGACAGTGTGGTGATTCCTCAAGGATCTAGAACAAGAAATACCATTTGATCCAGCAATCCCATTACTGGGCATATACCCAAAGGAATATAAATCATTCTACTATAAAGACACATGCACACGTATGTTTACTGCAGCACTATTTACAATAGCAAAGACATGGGACCAACACAAATGCCCATCACTGATAGAGTGGATAAAGAAAATGTGGTGCATATATACCATGAAATACTATGCAACCATAAAAAGAATAAGATCATGTCCTTCGCAGGGACATAGATGAAGCTGGAAGCCATCATTCTCAGCAAACTAACACAGGAACAGAAAACCAAATACCGCATGTTCTCACTCACAAGTGGGAGTCGAACAATGAGAACACAGGGATCCAGGGAGGAGAACAACTCACACACTGGGGCCTATCAGAGGGTTGAGGGCCAGGGGAGGGAGAGCATTAGGATAAATACCTAATGCATGCAGGGCTTAAAACCTAGATGACAGGTTGATAGGTGCAGCAAACCACCATGGCACATGTATACCTACGTGACAAACCTGCACGTTCTGCATATGTATTCCAGAACTTTAAAGAAAAAAGAAAAAGTCTTGGGTGTATATCGGTAGAGACTTATTCTATATCCTTCAAACTATATCATGTGGGCAAGTACACATGGTGCCTTCCCTGGAGCATAGAAGAAGCACTGTGAAGGCCCATCTGGAGTTACAAAAGCCCTGGGCCAATAAACGCAGTTTCTTCTCCCAAAGATCTTTCATTTAGCACAATCTTCCCTTCCACGAGGCCCAGACTACATAGAACAATGTTAAGAGAACCATGCTAAGCTGAAGGAGATGATGACTAGAAAGCTAAACAGACTAAACATATTAAAAATGCACTTCCACAGAATAAATACATGACAGAGAAACTGTTTTACTTCAGTTTTGTATTCATGTGATGTTGGAGAGAGAAGGCAAGTCAGTTTAATAACAAGAGAAACTTCATATTACGTTTCTTTCACTAAGGACAACAGAACAATAACGCTGGATTTCTTTATTCACTTTAATTCAGCAAACACAGGTTCTAATGAGTCTGGAGAAAAAGTAGCATTCTATAAAAAGGCCTAAGCTTTACCCTTTGTTGTACCTCATTCTTTCTGCCAAATTTGTATTTTCTACTAGACTGACAGTTCCACAAGTGTGGGGTCTGGGCCTGTCTTGTTTCACCCTGTGATACTCGGACAATGTTCAGCTCACAGTAGGTGTTCAATAAATATGTTAAATAAATTAACGTTGATCATTGTGGTTTTGTGTGAATCATGAGACTGATGAAGATGTATTAGAAACTACATTCAAGGAGAAGTGGGGAAAAAAAGAAACCACATTCAAAGTAGGCAAGGGCGAAAGTTCTTCTCCTCCTATGCATATAATACTGAATGTAATATTGATGGTTATAGAGTATTAAAAGGTTGAGAGAGGGAAGGGCCTTAGAGCAGTCGGGAGAGAAGAAAAAAAGTAAGGATAAGAGTAAGTTTTTCTCTTTAAGGTATTTTCATTAGCTCAAAGCAGGCGAAAAATTGAAAACCAAACTGTTCCTTAAAATAAGAATATATATATATATATTTTTTAGACAAGGTCTCATTCTGTTACCCATGTTGGAAAGCAGTGGCACGACCACCATTCACTGCAGCCTCGACCTCTTGGGCTCAAGTGATCTTCCCACCTCAGCCTTCCAAGTAGCTGGGACTATGGGAGCACCACCACACCCTGCTCTCTCTCTCTATATATATTTTTTTTTTTTTTTTTTTGGAGAGACGGAGTCTCACTATGTTGCCCAGGCTGGTCTCAAACTCCTTAGTTCAAGTGATCCTCCCACCTTGGCACCCCAGAGTGCTGGGATTCTAGGTGTGAACCACGGCACCGCGCCAAAAGTAAGAATATTTGATTACATTTTAGAGATAGAAAGAGTTAAGTATTCAAGTATAGATTCACTTATACATATACAGCATTACGTACATAAAGAATGAAGTATTAGACTCCCCAACTACTTTCCAGGACTCTGCCCACTGACCTCTGGTTCCTCTGATTTGTGCTCTGTGCTTACTGTTTCTCCATTCTATTCAGTCATATTTTTAACTTTTTTAATCCAGCAATTTTTATTCTGCATGTTAGTCTAATAATTATGGAATTCATTGCTGACTCAGAGAATCTAAACAGATTAATTCAGGCAAATGCCCGAAGCAGGGATGAGCAGATAAAGATGTCATAAGGACACAGTTTACAAATGTTATACATAATAGATGCCGTGATTCCATAGACTAAGGCAAACAACATTGCAACCTAAAAGTGAATTATGTAAATGAGGTAACTATCTCTGTTTTAAAAGCCCTATAGACGCTAAAGTTTATTAAAGGAATTAGTAAATCATATTTCTTTCTTTGTTTTCATATTTCCTGTGGCTCCAAGGGGCCATTGTAATAAATATTAAATTATGGTTTTTGTTTTTGTTTATCCCTGTTCTCACATCTGGAAACTGGAAACTAATCATACTCCTGGTTCACACAGCCTGGATGCTTCGCTTATTGTGGAACATAGATTAAAATGAGAGGCAATAAGTAGGTGTTTATTTTATAACAGAACATGGAAGGTCAGAGGTAGAAGGGTTCTTAGCGATCACTCAGTCCAACACCCCCATCTTTTTCACTTTAGCAACCTGAAGCTGAAAGAAGGGTTGAAGATTGCCCTTTGTCCCTGAGTATGCATTTGGCAAGGGATCTATTTTGAAATATTTGTGTCTCAAAGAATTCTCATTCCTCAAACTTGCTGATCACCAGGAGTAACAGAGGTTGCCTTATACACTTTCATATGTCTTACAGACATTATGTGTCTGGGAAGCCTGAAATTAAAAATAAAATAATATTACCCCAAACAAAACTTACTTGGTTCTGGGGTTGGCAACAGCAGGGGATTGGGAAACTATCCTCTGGTAGCTGACATTTCATGTGACTTACAAAAAAGAAAAGCTGTATTATTGCTGTGTAACTGTGAAGCGGAGGACACACATGTCTACTGTGGAGCCTTCTAGCATCACAGGAGAGCAGAGAGAATAGCCACCCGTACCTGCCACTGAGTCCACAGCTGATCAAGCCCAACCATTCCCCTCTTGGGAGCTTTTCTGCATCTTGTTCCCCAGATACCAGGTGCTCTGCCTAGCCATAACAAAACAGTGCCGAGGGCAGGAGAATTTTAGCTCCCTCTCCCATCTAGAGACCAAATGGCCTCCCAGAAAGAAAAACAAGTATGTCAAATGTCTCAAAGGTAGTGACTTGTTATGTGGGATCCCCAGTTCCTTAGAAGGTCTACCAAAGAGTGGAACAATTTTCAGTATTTCAGATGGAAATCACACATTGAGCCACAAGGCTACACAGACTAAGTATAGCATCAAGTTTCTTTCCTTTGGCTTAAGTTCTGTCACTCGGTGGGATTATCTCAGGCTTATCAGGAGCTCTGGAGAGTGGTTAAAGATCTCTCAGAAAACTGAAAATGAAGAAATCATTACCCATTAGATGAAAATTAGGTCCCTTGAAAGACAAGATGGAACAATAAGAGAGATTTCTGTGGGTATGAGAAAGACTCGGAAGTACTGGTTTTAAACCAAAGAAAACTTTAAATCCAAAGACTCCTCAAAAAATTATTTAAGAGAAACCCCCTCCCCTATTCCAGCTCTCCCCTCCGGTTCCATGACAATCACTCACTGGGCAGGGCAGGGAGGTCTTCCTGTGACTGGTGGCTTGTGGTCGGTGGCGTTCCCGGAGTCCTCTCTGATCCTCCTCTCTCCAGCTGTGGCCCCAGAAGCTGCTCATCCATTTGGCAAAAGACACATCATCATCATCATCATCTTTGTGCTCCATGTAAAGGTGATGCCAAATATTGAAGGCCTGCCCCTAAATCCGACAGAGGGAAATATCACCCAACAGGGCTGACAATGAAACCCAGATCTCCCCCAAAAGACAAAATGAAACTGGTCTTTTTAAAATGGTCTCCGATACTGGCATCCTTAAAGGAGAAAGATTTACTAAACAACCACTTCATCATCAGGCAGCCTTGGGCAATGTCTATTTATAAATTGTGCAGCCCACATTCCCCTCCCCTTGTCTTTTTAAATTGAGAGGCTTTCTAATCCTTCCATTGCTGGGGCTTGTGCCTCACAGCCTAAGGGTGGGAAGCAGAGTCCACTGCCTGGTTTTCCCTGTGCTTTGCTGCCAATGACATGTGATGGCATCTCCAGCTGTCAATGATGATGGAGCATGACCCTCACAATATGCCCGTCAGCTCCAGGCAAGCTCTGAAATGGGGCCACATACAAGGAACACACTGACCACAGCTTGCCAGGTAGCCAGCTGTTGCCATGTCATATCTAGAGCTAGATACTCTCCTAATAAAATGATATTGATATAAAATCCAGCTCCTGGATCAAAACGAGTAGTTTTTAAAATTGATGTACAGGCCGGGCGCAGTGGCTCAAGCCTGTAATCCCAGCACTTTGAGAGGCCGAGACAGGCGGATCAGGAGGTCAGGAGATCGAGACCATCCTGGCTAAAACGGTGAAACCCCGTCTCTACTAAAAAATACAAAAAACTAGCTGGGCGAGGTGGCGGGTGCCTGTAGTCCCAGCTACACGAGAGGCTGAGGCAGGAGAATGGCGTGAACCCGGGAGGCGGAGCTTGCAGTGAGCTGAGATCTGGCCACTGCACTCCAGCCTGGGCGACTGAGCAAGACTCTGTCTCAAAAAAAAAAAAAAAAATTGATGTACAAATGTAAATAATATACAAGTACATGTAAAATGTACAAATCATAAGTGCACAGCTTGATGAATTTTTATATACGTATACCCCTGTGTTACCACCACCATGCAGGTAAAGACATAGAACACTGCCAGCACCCCAACTGGCTCCATGTATCCCCCTTCCAATCCATACTCCCTTCAAAAGTTTACCATTAATGATCTGTGTCACCATAGATTAATTTGCTTGTTTTTGAACTTACTTTCAATGCATTATACAGTATGCATTATCCTATGTTATTCAACATTATGTCAGTGAGATATATCCATGTTTTTGCAGTAATAGTAGTTGATGCTGTGTGTAGTATTGCATTGCATCAACATGCCACAATTTTTAAAAATTCAGTCTACCAGTGATAGTCATTTTAGGCTGTCATTTAGATTTTTTCTAGTTGGGGCTTTTGTAAATAAAGTTTATATAAATTTTACAGTCCCGGTCTTTTAGTGGGCATTTTTTCAAGGTAAAGAGAATATTACGTTTATGGCACTCCTACTTTGCATCAAGTATGGAGCCACCAAGTATTCCATATCTGCTCATTTTCTTTTCTTCTTTTTTTTTTTTTTTTTTTTTTGGAGATGGAGTCTTGTCCTGTCACCCAGGCTGGAGTGCAATGGCACGATCTTGGCTCACTGCAACCCCCGCCTCCCGGGCTCAAACAATTCTCCTGCCTCAGCCTCCCGAGTAGCTGGGATTTTGGGCGCCCACCACTGCGTCCAGCTAATTTTTGTATTTTAAGTAGAGACGGGGTTTCACCATGTTGGCCAGGCTTGTCTCAAGCTCCCAATGTCGTGATCCGCCTGTCTCGGCCTCCCAAAGTGCTGGGATTACATGCATGAGCCACCACGCCAGACCCCGTATATGCTAATTTTCTTATAACAACCCTGTGAATGGGAGATTTGTATGACATTTTATTGATAAGGAAGTTGAGATGCAAATAGATCACCCCTTGCCAAAGTGAAATTAATACTAAGTGGCAAAACCAAGTTTGAAGTGGGGAATAGAAAAACAAGGTCCAGGCTCTTTCCACCATCCTGCCAGTATTTCAAGAGAACTTGGAGAAGTCTTGCATTTTCAATCAGGAATTCTTGGCCATTTGCCATATGAAAATCCTTCCTTGAGCTGCAAAAAGATAAGCTTGGTAACTATGACCAATGTTTGCAGAGCATGGTATCACAACTTTTATGTTACTAAGGAAAAGTAGCCAAAGCTTAACATATCTTGTAACATTTTTATTTTTTGCAAATGGCCAAGACTTCCTGTGTTATCACAACTCATTGCTGGAGGAATTAAGCACATCCTGTGGGACTGCACTGGAACAGGACTTTTTGGAAGAGTGTGCCTAATTTCCTCCAGACTGCACCCCATATGTCTTTTCTATTTTCTTTCTCAGTTTTACTTTGTATCCTTTCAACATAATAAATCTTATCCATGAGGCCGGGCGCGGTGGCTCAAACCTGTAATCCCAGCACTTTGGGAGGCCGAGACGGGTGGATCACAAGGTCAGGAGATCGAGACCATCCTGGCTAACATGGTGAAACCCCATCTCTACTAAAAAATACAAAAAACTAGCCGGGCGAGGTGACGGGCGCCTGTAGTCCCAGCTACTTGGGAGGCTGAGGCAGGAGAATGGCGTGAACCCGGGAGGGGGAGCTTGCAGTGAGCTGAGATCCGGCCACTGCACTCCAGCCTGGGCGACAGAGCAAGACTCCGTCTCAAAAAAAAAAAAAAAAAAAAAAAAAAAAATCTTATCCATGAGCATGACTATATATGCTGAGTTCTAGCAAATCCCCAAACTGGGGATGACAGCTACTATCACAAGTGGGATTTGCTTAAAAAAATAACCCAAATTACTGAAATATGGCTAAAGCAGGGTTTGGGAAAAGGGAGGATGAAGAGGACACAATGGTGAACCTTCAATGCCCAGTGGCTACCTAGCCATCTGTAGAATGAATCAGCTGTTGAGATGATGTCTGTTGTGAGAGGTAAAAGTTACCTACAGAATTCAAAATAACGGACTCAACCCCAGGACAATTGGTTCATTAGATTCCCTGGATACTTTTGGCCATGGGTAGCTAAAATGAAGAGATTAAAAAGTGCAGCCTGGCTGATGCCTTTGGGTTTTGTTCTCTCCTCTAGACGAGAAATGAAAGGGTCCAAACATTCCCAAAACACATTTTGCATGGGCCACAAATGTTAAAAGTTTGCATTGCTTTCTCTTCCAAGTGGGAAGGAAGAGAAAGCAATGCAAACTTCTACCATTTTTGTTAAGTCAGTTCCAAGAGCTAGAACAAGGCTTTAGATAAACCAGCAAGAAAGGGGAGTGGGGGAAATAAAACCCCATCGCCTGGTACAGCAGCCCTTTACATTCCAACTATAAATCTCTCAGCAGGTATAATGTAAGTCATATATGCTGAATTTACCACTTTACTACTAGGAGTTTGAGAAAACCTGCAATGAAAAAAAAAAGAGATTTTAAAAAATGGCTTCTATTCTGTGGCTATTGTACCTGAATGAATATGACAAAAACTGATGTAAAATATTATATGCTTATAATTTTGTAAATGCTTGAGGGATTGCCCCAGTTAGGGAAAGCGACTCCGTAAGAAATATTAGGAGAATATGCACCTCTTGATTTTTGTTGCTAGTAGATACATTACAATGTAAACTCTGAGCATTTAAATACTGAAATCTCCATAACTGATTATTTTGCTATAATTTTTGCCTGTTGGAGCCTATGGGAAAAGGTAGACAACATAGAAGGATAGCTCATCTCCACTGGAAAAAACACCTTTTGAGTTTTAAAAAGCGGTTTTTAGTTTGCTAATAAGTTCTTATAAAATCGGGTGTCTGTCTGACTCTCAGAGGCTAATGATTTTCCAGCCTAATGTGCTTATTTTGGAGTGGGTCGATTGGACTCTAAACCTGACAATATAAAAAGGGCTTAGAAAACCTTTCTTGTCAATTGCACTTGGAACACAGTTGTTTGGCCCTGTATCTTCTCGGCTTTGCTGCTGCTAAAGAAGAAAAGTTGCTAGCTAGTTTGGAATCCTGAATTCACAGATCCTAACTGCCTGGAGCTTATGCTAAGCTGAAACTTGATACTGTCTGTGAGGGACTGTTCCAATCTCTGAAGACAGGCATAGGCTCAAGGAACAGAACTCAGTCTCTGGAACTATTGCAGGTTTGTTTACAACACTCCTCTGTGGGGCCATAAACTATGCTATCACATGGCTCACTTGCAGATGCCTACGGGAAAGCGCTTGTTCTTTGATAGGACCATTTGAAACCGAACTAGTTGCACCAGAAATGATTGATCCCAAGAACCCTGTCAAAAGCTGCAAGCTTGGGGAGAGCACATCGCAGAGAGTGGGACCCCTCCATCCACTCCTGACAGATAGGGCTCTTGACCCCTTCTGGGAATAGCTTACTGCTATTAATTTGTGTTCAGCTTGCCAGAGTATTTTGAAATTTGCAATGATGGATTGATAGTCTGACTCTTCTTTGCTCACCTCTCTTCTTAGTTAAGCAGTTTGATTGCTAAATGCAGCTGCTCCTAGACAGAAATTGATATTTTCTAGGCTGCTTCCTGAATAAATAATCAGGACAAAAGGGATAGGTAATGTAAACACAGTCTGAACATTTTTGAAAATTCAGGATTTTGTCCTAGCCCATTCTGAAACATGATGTTGTTTTTCTGGTTGTTACATGAAACAGTGATTTTCTATGTAAATCATTTTGTCCCTCTAACACCCAACCCTTCCTACCCTTCCTCATAAAAGGTCTAGATAAGAATAAACAATGGCTGGGGAAGTTATGATTTCTGAATGAATCACACTGTTGTGTAATAGCAAAGAAGGAAAAAACCCGGCACCTGGAGCAGGAGAAAGAGGGCATTAACGATTTGTTTTTTGAAACTGCTCCTGAACACCAGTGCTGCCTTTGCAGGATGCTGTGAGGGCTTGAATTCAAACTGACTGCTGAGCCTATGATCACACCCAACAGTACTGACTATGAGAGAGCAGCAACTGGCCCCAGCTCCTCTAGCTTCCAAGAACACCTCCAGATATTGTCCACACTTATGAGCAAAACTGACAGAAACA